TGGAAAAGTGGTCAAATTCCCTTACGGAAATGGTGGAAATCCAACCATTTGATCCATCACTGCTGATTCCTGGCGTGTGCATTAGCAAGAAGCTAGTCAGATATCAAACCCTCATACTCAGATACGGGATGTGAATGTCTGAATTAACACCTGAGCTGCTCACCTGAGTGTAACTCCCAAGAGTTATTTTTACTATCTGAATATTCACTTAATATTTTCTGCTCAAATTCCATCCACATAACATCCTATATTTTACATCGTAAAGTTAATTGTTGCCTTTGAAATATGTAACTTTACAAACATAAATTTCATGTATCATAGCTTACCCATTTCAAATGTGCTAAAAATAACATTATTTTAGCTTATCTATTAAATGGTGCAAATCATCACTTTTATGTTTTTTCATCATCCCCATAAATTTCATCACATCCTTTATCTGTGAATCCCTATGCTCCTCACATCCCCCTATTTAGAAATTACTGGTCTACGTTCCCTCATTCTACATTTGCCTTCATGGGCATTTCAAGAAAATGGAAATCATATAATATGTCTGCCATCTCTCATTTAAACAATTGATGTTGGAGTTTGTGCAAATAATTGCACACATATATACATTGTTGGTTTCTAACACTAAATAGTATATTTTCTCATATGAATATAACACATTTTGCTTATCTGATCATAGGTTGAAAATATTTTGGCTGTCACTGATAATATAATTACACATATGTAAGTCTGTGTGTAAATGAATGCACATTCATTTCTTTGTGATAGATACTTAGGAATGGACTCTTTTATGTTAAATTTTCAAATTTTCTTCTCCCTTGGTAGTGTGTCTATTCTTTACTTTTGTCTTCTTCCAATTTGTTTATTTTGATATCTGAAATAATAGGGGGTTTTGAGTTGTCTTTTCTTATCTAAGGCGAGGAAGGTCATGCATTTGACCTAACAGTCAAGACTCGGATGTTCCTTATTGGAGTTCCTGGGTTCAATACTCATCACCTGCTCGTGATTCCAGCTTCCTGCAAAACCTTCCTGTCCACAGTGTGCACAACTCAGACTGAGTTCCCAGGTTCTAGCTTCAGCAAAATGAGTGCTCCATTTCCCTTCCAGCTCCCTGCTTGTGACCTGGCAAAGCAGCAGAGCACGGTCCAAAGCCTTGGAACCCTGTACCCACATGGGAGACTAGGAATAAGCTCCTGACTCCTGACCTCAGACAGGCTCAGCTTGGGCTGTTGTGGCCACCTGGGGAGTGAATCAATGGATGGAAGATCATTCTCTCTTTCTCTCTCTCCTCCTTTCAGTAAATCTCACTTTCCAATAAAAAAAAAAAAATTAAATATTTAAAAGAATTTAAAAAATGGCTATGACTGACCTGAGTGTCCTAACTGTATTTGCTAACAAAAAGAACAGAAATATACATAACGAAGCTCCTTTATGATCAATAACCTTTGGACATCCGAAGATGAAAATTATTCAAATATATGCTTGAGCCAAATCTGTGTTTGTTTATATATATACATATAAATATATGCGTATATAAATACATTTATATAGATAGATAGGTATATCCACAGGATAATGTGTTCATACCAAATGTTTATTTCAGAAAACAGTATAATTTTATTTATTTATTTTTAAAGATTTATTTATTTTTATTGCAAAGTCAGATATCAGAGAGAGGAGGAGACAGAGAAGATGATCTTCTATCAGAAGAGTCACTCCCCAAGGGACTGCAATGGCCAGTGCTGTGCCGATCTGAAGCCAGGGAGCCTGGAGCTCTTCCGTGTCTCTCACACGGGTGCTGGGTCCCAGGACTTTGGATTGCTCTCCCAGGCCACAAGCAGGGAGCTGGATGGGAAGCGGGACTGCAGGGATTAGGACCTGTGCCTATATGGGATCCCAGCACATTCAAGGCGAGGACTTTAGCCTGTAGGCCACCACGCTGGGCCTGAAAACAGTAAAATTTTTTAAAAAAGATATGAGGTCTCCAATTTGAATAAATGACACATCTCTGTCATGAAATCTTGTGGCTGTTAACTCAAGTAAAGAATATTCACCTCTACAAAATAAGGGATTTTTAAAAAATTTCAAAATGAGTTTATTTTTCAAGCCATCTGCTGTGTATAAGTGGCAGGGTGCATTACTGGGTGGATCTGTCATCTTCCTGAGCATACAAAGCTAATATTCTCTACTTTTCTATCATCAGAAAAAAAAAATAACAATGTTTCCTTCTTCACACAATATTAAATAACTTTACTGGATTCATCCTTACATGATACCTTTCTTATTTTGGTTACATAGATTAACTCATATACATTTTAACGGTAATTTTGCATCTTTTAAAACTACAATATCTTAAAAAATAAAGTACAGGACAGACTCATTTTTAGCATGAACTTGAAAACTGATTGTTTGCATTATAAATTTTTATCATTCGTGTGTTAGGTTATAATTGCTAGAGAACTCAATATTAGTGTTTTATTTGCCTTAATTGCCTGGAAAATAAAAACAGAAGGTATGATCAACTCTTGCAGTCACTGAATGTAAACTCAAATAAACATTAACAATCACTGCACTTATTAGTACAATCATTTATAAATGCTTATTTCTCCTATTTTTTCTTTAATTTTTGCTGCCTCAATTTTTCCCACAATAGCTAGAATATTGACTCTAAATAAAAATATGTTATATGTGCCACCTGGTGAATTGAACTCAATTCGAGGAAACAGGAGGTATCATGTTCTATTCAACTTGGGCTAAAATGGTCTACAACATATGTGTTTTATATAGATAGAGGTTTGGGGATTTATAAACATCTTACTGAAGTGATCTTGTAATGAATAGAGTTTACCAGCATCAACTTTAATATTTACAACACAAACAACACAAAACAATATCTTCAACAAGACAAAAACAGTGGCATAAATACGGACTTGATCCGAAGCAAGAAATAGTCAAATTCACAAAGATTATGTGGGTATGCAAACACAAGATGTGGCCACATTCTATTGAATGAAAATCTTCTTTGCAGTAAACACAGTCACACAACGTCTGTGTACCCAGCAATCCATACATAAACCCCAGTGTGGTAGTTACTGCAAGCGGAGAGATGGTTGAGTCATGAGAGCTTTTCCTGAAGCCTCGGGCCATGCCAGGAAGCAGTGACAGATGGTCAAGTAAGGAGCAAGGGGCAGGCCCTCACCAGAAACCGGGTCAGGGTCTTTGATCTTGGCTAGCCCAGCACCCATAGCTGCGGAAATTCAGCTAAACTGTGTGAAGCCTCTTGGTTCAGGCACTAGTTTCAGGCAGCACCTGATTGCCTCAATGTATAAGCACTATTTTGTCTATCTCTGACCAAATAATGATTTTTGGGAATCCATTATTCTTAATTTTCAAGGAATTCCTAGACAGAAAAACCTCACATATTTCATATCTTGGATGTTTTTTCAATCTGCCATTGCTGCTCTTCTGTGGCTTGGTCTTGCTGTTTGTGGTATCAACCACAGGAACACAGAGGTACAACCAAAACCACTCCAATTCAGCTGCAGAGACAGCCAGAACACTCCATAAATCACCTCTGCCTACCATGAAACCACTTAAAAACAGCTCAGATAACTAAATTGTTTACCACTGGCCTCATACAGCAAGTTTCAGCAACAACAACAACAACAAAAAAAGCCACAAATGTTTACATTAACTATGTATTTCCAATATTCTTTTCCAATTCATGAACCTATTAAGATTGTCATATTATGGTATGGAGTATTAAAATGCCTATGATTGGGACCAGCACAGTAGCCTAGTGGCTACAGTTCTTGCCTTGCATGGGCCAAGATCCCACTTGGGTGCCAGTTTGTACCCCCACTGTTCTACTTCCCTTCCAGCTCCCTGCTTGTGACCTGGCAAAGCAGCAGAGCACGGTCCAAAGCCTTGGAACCCTGTACCCACATGGGAGACTAGGAATAATCTCCTGACTCCTGACCTCAGATCGGCTCAGCTTGGGCTGTTGTGGCCACCTGGGGAGTGAATCAATGGATGGAAGATCATTCTCTCATTCTCTCTCTCTCCTCCTTTCAGTAAATCTCACTTTCCAATAAAAAAAAACAAATAAGTGTTTAAAAAGAATTTTAAAAAATGACTGACCTGAGTGTCCTAACTGTATTTTCTCATAAAAGAACAAATATGTATATAACCAAATTCCTTTATGATTAATAACCTTTGGGTATCTGAAGATGAAAATGATTTATAACTTGTTTGTTTATTTATATATTTATATAGATAAATTCGCAGGACAATGTATCATGCCAAATGTTTATTTCAGAAAACAGTATAATTTTAAAGCTGATATTTTACAAAGGATGTAATAATTGCTCAGAACCATGTGACAAAACCAAACTAAAATGTAGCCATGTTCTCACTTGCTTATAATCATCACAAGTAAACTGTCTTTTTCTGCTCATAGATCACTGTAAAAATCACTGGGCCTCCCCCAGGTATGACATGCCAATATTTTTGGAATTTTCTTTTGGCTTTAGAGTGATTTTCACTCTAGCTATCGAGAAATGAGAATCCAAATACTTACTAATTTTGGTCTGCGTGGCTTTTTCCTAACTAATGCATGCCACTGGGGAATATTCTAGAAATCTTGGTTACCCTCCATCAGATATTTTCTTATGGGCCAGAACTTTAAGATTCTTTAGGGCGAAATTGTTTCCTGAAATATTCTATAATTTTTTAATCCCAGATCTAAAAATGAATCCAGAGTCCAAGTTCCATAACTGGCAGAAAACAGCCAATATTATGTCATATAGTCTGATGCCATTTATAAAAGCTAGCTGAAAAGAAGTGTTTTAGGATCTGACAGTTATATCTAATTAAAGACCATTCTTTTTCATTTCCATGACTTTTTTTTTTTCAGAAACCAATTTGCAAGTTTAGGAATGATTTGTATCTATTGTACTGAACAACAGAGCAGGAATATTTTGATATTTCCAAACCTCAGATGTAGTGAGTTTCTGAGATTCAGTCCTGTAGATTCCAATGGGAACATCTCCAGTGGATGAACACAGCTTCTGATAGAGCCTGGCGTAGGTTCTGATCCACAAGTCCTCCTCCGTGATTTTCATCTACAAGAGGAACAGATTGTTCACACATTAAGGGCATCAGAGATATTAAACCTGGTGGTTATTCTTCATGAGTTCAAGGCAGAATGTATTTTTATTTGGAATTTTCAAAATAATATTTTATAAGTGCTAATTCATGCGTTAAAATATACTTAATGTATACCACATCAGTTTACACTGAGATTCATCTGAATTTGAAAAATCCAAATTAACTAGGATCAGTACCTCACCATATCAGTTCAATATCAATAGACAATAAAATACAAGTAATTGCCTGGGAGATGTTGTAAACCATGTGACTATTGTAATTAACTTAAGTCCACTACTAGTAGAAGCATTTAGAGTCTGTTCATGTAACGAAAGATATAAACAGGAAATGCAAGTTCTAGTTTTTATTCACCACTTACATATTTGAATATCAGCAATTCATTTCATTCAATATTCCTGAATTGGTATATCCATTTATAAAGTGATGGTTACTGGGTCACTGCTCCCACAGGCAAGCGTAAAAACTGGGATGAGGGGCAGACCAGGCCAGGCAGGGCTACAACACCTTTGCTCTGCATGTGAACTAGGTTAGGGGGAGAGCCGGGCTGGGCTAACCAACTGTATCCAGTGGTGCAAGCTTGAATCAGATTAAGTACAGGCTGGTTGAGCTCTATGGCAGCATCAGCTGACAAGTGCTGGGATTAGGGGCGAGTCCTGTCAAGACAGACTGCAGAACCACCTGCAAGATCTGGAAGTGGGACTAGAAGGGAAACTGTGGGACCTCTCTGATGTGCTGCAATCCCCCTGGTGAGCATGAGAACCAGGGCTGGGGGTGGAGTTGGCTGGTTAGGAGCAAGCACCAGGAAACATAAGTGTGGGCTGGATAGTGGAGTCAGTTGGGCTGAGGTAGGCTTCACTGCCCACTGATGTGTGTGAGAGCTGGAATGGGCTGTGGCACAGACTGGTCATACCAGCATGCACAGGAACCAGGGCTGGTGGCAGGCCTGGTAGGGGTTATTGAGGGTCGCTCCTACCGGGCTGCATTGCCCACTGGTGTACATGAGTGCTGAGAGTATGTTGGGCAGGAGTGGGCTGGCTGTAGCATCTATTGGTTTATGTAGGAGATGGGGCTAGAGACAGAATTGCAATCACCAGTATGTGTGTAGGCCATGGTGGGTGACAGACTGAGCCAGATCCCATCCTGGCTAGCACACACCTGGAGTCACCTCAGACAAGATTTCTTTGTGGATCCTCAACTGAACCGCTGGACTCATAACTCCAGTTATGGGGTGAATCGCATGATCTGTGGTCTGACGGTAAAGTGCGTGTGTCAGAACTGTGCCTCTTCAGTGGCTTAGACAGAGCCATGGACGGCATACCCAAACACACATAAAAGATATGGCATGGAAGAGGACATCCGGTGCTGTAGCAGAGCAAGGAGGGCAGAACAAATTGGTCAACTACCCCAACTAAACATTGACGGTAAATATCTGGGCGAGTGGACACGCTAAGGTAAACTATGGCAGCCAATGGACCTCGGAAGGATTTCCTCATTCTTGGATTGACAAGATTCACAGCATTTCAGAACTAAGGAAACCACCTGAGCAGAACCCGTGCAGCATGCTGCACATCAGGGACCCTGGGATGATGTTGGGTGGCTGTCCCCTGGGAGACTGGGTGCGGCTTGCCCTGTAATCTCCCCTGTTTCCCAGATACAGGAAGAAGAAAAGCAAAATCCGGAAACAATGGTCTCACCAGCTTTCCCCTAATCCGTGACTCTTCCCACCCTAAACAGCTATGCAAACATTATCAAAAATAAAATTTTAAAAATACTTAAACTGTATGATCGCTGTTTTCTTACCCAAGATGGTGTTCTTTGTCTAAATCTGTCAATCTCAAATTGCCAGTAAACAGAAAAAAGATTCCTCTGAAATTTGTATAAAATTAATCTTTCATTGCTTAAAATTAAAAATATTTTTTGCCGAGACTATTTTAAATTATCATTTAAGCTCCAGGTATCACTATGAACAAACACACAATAGGAAAAGCATGTAACAGAAAAGAGTAAGACAGACTGGCCAGGAGACACTGCAGAGGCGGTACTGTAGTAATTATTAACTTACAGAACAGAGAAAGCCAGATCCTGGTATTGTATCCAGTCCCAGAAGAAGTCTGGTGATAGAAATCATATAATCCTTCACAAATGACTGAAACATAGACAAAAACATGTGTGTTACTTGTTTCAGATGCTACAATGCTTAGGTGTGTGAAGACTTCAACAATTACTTTTCATAATCCTTCACTCATCCTCCATTCAAAGGAAAGAAAAATTTCAATTGTAGTGTAAGTAGTTAGATACTGCTCATGAAGAAATACACAAAATAACTATTACATAGAATATAGTGACAGGCTTATGTGTGTTATTAAATGTGACAGAACATTTTTAGATTTTTTTTAATAGCAAGAAGTATGAACTGAAATAAAGTAGTAGATTAACCGAAAGAGTTAAATTTGCAATAAGACACATCATGCAATTTTTAAAGATTGAGTTCAATGTTAGTAAAATGACTTTATAAAAATTATCATTTACTATTATACTTGCATGATTTGACATATCATTTTTAAATGGAAATTAAAAAAACCCGAATTATCACATTATCCTGGCATGATAGTGAGTTTCCTATATTGAAATGTTGCAGGTTAGGAAAGCATTGGAGATTCAGAGAAAAAATGTACAAGTAAGAAACAATGATATTGAGATTGAAATATTCGTCCTTGGTTCTTCAAGACCCGTTACCGATGAGTCAGGGATTCCCCCAAAGGTAACTACGCTCTCTGTTTTACTAATGCTGAATTGTTTTCCAAACATCAAGTAACATATTTTTAAATGAAATAGGACAAATTTTACTAAGATGGAAAGTAGATGCAGCAAATTGCATGCAGAAGGGGTCCATGTGATACTGTGACAGTTGTTTTAATTCCACGCATGTGAAGGTGTGTATTGGCAGTGATGAACAGAGCACATTTACTCTGCGACAATGTAAGAACTTGTAAGACTGTAGGTCTGCAGAAGCCTTGGTAAACACCCAGTTTCCTGATTCTCTATAATATAAACCATGAGGTAAAAATGAAGAGGGAGAAAAATTACATTTTCCTTCTGTTTAACTGATCTATTAGACTTATCTGGGAGATTGCATTTAAACATTGTGTATTGGAAAATCAAGAACCGCTGGTGCATAACATCCAACATTTGGCGGCTACTGATACAAAATCGTCAGTTTCAGCATTGCTCTTTGAATAATCCTCCCCCACGCTTCTCTCTGGAATGGACTGGAAGCCGTGTGCGTGGCAGCGGTGCTCTGGGTAGGGCTTGCTCCTGGCATGGCCAGATAAAGCGTAAGGAAACGGGAGGCACACAGGAGCATTTATTCTGCTTAGCCGAGTTTGTTCCAGCTCATCTGGAAGAAACAGATGGCTGCTGACATTGCTAGAGGCAGACTTCTGGGCAAATTTAGCCCTAAATGCAGCCAAAAAGCTTTAACTCAGGGTCAGTTTACTCAGTAAAGCAATTATAGAAGAAGACAGATAAATATATAATCAAAAAGAATGCGCACAATACAATACTTAATTTGAGATCAACGTTATCATATCATTTAAATTTCTATGAATATACTTTGGTTTTGGTGGAAATATCTAGAAATTTTCTGGTTACTTGAATCAGAGAATATGAAATATTAAATCTTTCCAGTTTCTGCCAGAAACAAAAATGGGTATATTTATATGAGGTAATATCCCATTAACTGCTTAGCTGTAATAAAATGGCAATGTTAATTTGGCATCTGGGAACAAACCATGGTTCTGAGTTGTAAAATATCTTTCATATTTTCTATCGCAGGCACTAATTAGAAATGTTTAAAATGCCCCTGGCCTATCAGCTTACTGAAATTTAATGTGTCCTATGGTGCATACTCTTTATTTTTAACCAAGGAATTTTCTTAACTTTTATTTTAATCACTAATATACTAACATTCTCTCAGTGATCATTTTTGAACAATATTTTTTCTCACAAGATGTTTTATGGAAACAATAATTCAGTACACACATGAAACAATAATTACTTTCAGAGCCATTTTAACTTAGCAGCCTCATGAGAAACATTGTATGTATCATTTAAATAAAATCTAAATGAAATTTAAAAATTACCCGTTTTAGGGAGAAAAGGAACATCCCATACCTGATACAGAAGTGTGTCCAACATACTGATGCTAAATACCCTTCCAGCGGCAAAAGGCAGTCGAAACATAAAAGCCAAGTTAGACCCTCTCTCTCGTTCTTTCTGTTCAGAAAATTGAGACAAAAAAAATTTTGACTCTGCTATCTTCGATGCATTTCTGCATAAACAATACATTTTCTTGACATATGTGGAAAAATAAATTCCAATCATATGGTTCTTAGCTGTCAGAGTGCAACTACTTGATTTGCTGCTGTGTTTTACAGTATTCTTTCGATTTTGAAAAGTAAATTTTCTTCATCCATAGAAACACCTGGTAGTTAAGAAGTTGGTTATTTCAAATGGTGGATAAGTATTTATTCTTCATAAAAGAGGTAACAGCAAATAAACAAGCATAGTGAGAACCATATAATCAAATGTAAAAGGAAATCCTAGTCAAACAATGTATTATGATACTTCAAAGGTTTGTCTTTATTTATTCTAAGGAAAATACAGGCACGTAGCAAGCTGTTGGTGGACTAAATATGTGTGCCTGCCTGCCTGTGTCCGCAGGAATTCCCAACCCTCAAGGTCAAGGCCTAAGGGAGTTCTTACAGACGCGATGAGGGAGCTTACCAAGGAAGCACTATTTGATACTATTCACATTCAGGTGCCACTGCCAACGTGAGGGACTGGCAGGCAGTCCCTGAATAGGTCATGAGGCTACTGGCACGGTGCCCTAGTGAGTGGATTAACGCGCTGTGGGTGGGAAAGGTTTGTTATCCTCCTGTGTGTGCATGCTTTCTGGGCACAGTAAGATACAGCAAAGAGGCCCTCACCAGGGCCTGGCACCTTCGTATTGGTCTTTGCAACCTGCAGAACTGTGAGAAATACATTTTTTTTCCTTTATAAACGGTATTCTATCCAGGCCATGGTATTCTGTCCTAGCAGCAGAAAACAGACAAAGACAACCATTTAAGAACCAGGGACGTGGACCATGGCCAGACACTGACTCTGCTAGCACCTTCATTCCAGACTTCTCCGTCTCTCACCTGAGAAATAAACATCTCCAGCTTATAAACCTCTCAATCGATGGTACTTTGCTGTGGTTCCCAGCAGACTGATACAGCCTATTATGGACTGCAGGCTTCATCTTTCTGCCATCTTAATTTTATTTCTCCATCTGCTTTATTTAAGTTGTGCCAGCCACACCAGTTTGCAGCTACAGTTCTATAATGTACAAAATTACTGTGTTTATACATGAATGGGCATGTGATAAAGCGAAGGAAATTTTGGGGAGATTCTTCTGCAATTATACTCATGTTGTGAACGAAAGCAAGTGTCAAATATATTTTTGGCATTTTTATTTTGGAAGCAGTTTCTAAAGAATGGAAGTGATACTGGTATTTCACAAGTGATAAACTCAAAATCACAGGTTTCCTTTGCTACCAACATCACTTTGGTAGAAAAAAAACACAGATACAGCTAAGTAGGTAAAAAAAAAAATCAACAATCCAGCTCTTGTGGCAACAAAAGCAAACTATGCTTTTAATGCAGCTACTTTGGGGCCGCCACAGGGAGATATCCCTCCCTCATCTTCATGTTAAGAAGATATGGGACACAGAATTTCCAAGTGATGGGATAGATGAACTAGGGCTATCACTTGTGTTGATAATCATCTGAGACTGACTTGATTTTTGGACTTTAATTAGACATACACTTGAGTTTGAAGCTCCAAAACAGCCAGACCTTGGAGTAGAATAAAAAACTCCCAAAATATCCATAGTGTATGCCTAGTTGAGAAGATCATGAGACTATGAGACTGCCTCACTAGATAGACAAAGAGAAGGCCAGGGGAGCAGCAAAAACATGAAGTGGTGCCCATTTGCATCTATGCTTACAGTTTCATAGTATATTCTGTAATGTACCAACCTCAGTTAAAAGTGCTTAACTCGAGCAGTCCATGAAGGTGAGCAGGAAACAAAATGGAATTGGTTGTTTGTATTTTAAGTAGTGTTTCCTGGAAATCTGGGAACACATGTAGTTCTTAAGATGTGCCAAGCATTCAGAGGAGAGAACAAAGCCATGGTACCTTAATGGCAAGTTAAAGCAAATAGCCAGAATAATATGCAAGGACCCATGAGAATTTGAAGTGTAGGATTTGCCATTCGGAGACTGGACTATCTAGTCTTCTTTTCCAGGTTATTTCTGTTCTGGGAACTCTTTCTTTCTTTTTTTTTTTTATTTGAATGTCAGATATACAGAGAGGAGGAGAGACAGAGAGGAAGATCTTCCATCTGATGATTCAATCCCCAAATGACTGTAATGGCTGGCGCTAAACTCATCTGAAGCCAGGAGCCAGGAACCTCCTCCAGTTCTTCCACACGGGTGCAGGGTCCCAAGGCTTTGGGCAGTCCTCAACTGCTTTCCCAGGCCACAAGCAGTGAGCTGAATCTGAAGCAGGGCCGCTGGGATTAGAACTGGCACCCATGTTCCCTCTAACAGACAGTATGTGATACCTGGCTGAGTATATCTTTATGGCTTTATATTTTGCCATATCCCTCAGTTTTCATCAGCTTTTCTTTCTTATTTTTTTAATGTCAGATTTAGCTGCAGCAGAAATAAACAAGGCACAGATTTGCTCATAAGTCGACCAGGCAAGCAATGATGATTTGAAGCTAACATTGTAGGGATATAGGAAAGCCCTTCGATGGAGTTAGACAAAGGTGCGAGTGTGCAACAGCAGACACACATAGAAACTGGAGGGGCTGAAGACACAGCAGCCTTCAATTCATGGAAGGAGAAACGGTGAAACATCACACTGCCTCCTGCTGAAAATCAAGTGGGAAGAAGCTTGGGGAAAGCCAGAATTTAGCAGTTAGAAATTACCCTCTACTTCTTCAATGTGCTATCATCTTGTCTTTGGCCTTAACTATTTCTTCTTGGATTTGTAAGCCTTTATGTTAGCTTTCACATCTTTCCCAAAGTCCAATTACATCATCACCCCAAACACTGCTCTGTAACTGAATTTTGCATTTTAGTATCACAAATTCCCCATCATGCTGAGTCATGTACAGATCAATTAATGAAGATGAAAAATGACTAACTAATCAACCCAAGGATTGCTTAATTCTCTTTCCCACTCCACCCATCTAATACACAAATTCCAGCTCTAGTTCACTTAACCGTCATAACTATTTCCTCTTCTCCAACCTATGGCTAAAACACTTAATGAGATTTACCTCTCCTGTTAACATCCCAACCCCAAGCCTTTTGTCACTCCAAGTTATTCTGCAGAATTTTACCAATTAAATTTATTAACAACTTTCGTTACTTATATTTTGGCTCATCATCCTTAGTTCACTCTTTGGATCAAGCTTTCCTGGTTATGCCTGGAGAACGAGGCAGCACTTTGATGAAACCGCATTTCACCCTGATAAGAGCCTGACTTAAGAATATCCTGGCAATGGAGCATTAGACTGAACCCAGAGGAGCAGGGTGGTGGTTTCTTGTGTACAGTGGTTTCTTGTTTTCAGATTGTCAGTGATGATTTTCTCAATCCAGCATATGGCTCCCCAACATTGGGAAGCAGCCAACATTTAAAACACTTTTGTTTCATTATCAGCCAATAGTCACACACCACAGATTAATTTAGCTTCTGCACAAAGGTTGATACCTGGGCTTGAGTTTCCATGTCAGTGAAATGGACTCATTATATAAGTCCCACATGCTGTCTATCATGATTCAGAGCCCTGAAAACGTGTCTAAAGGGCTGAATAAAGTGCTGCTATTTATTAGCTGAGTGAGCTTGTACAAGTCACTTAAACTTCCTATTCCCCATTTCATTACCTGTGAAACATTCATATTAGTCTACGTTCCATTCTGACTCCAATAAACAGAAACAAAGAACATCTAAAGAAGTTATCTATACTTAATACTCAATGTTTTTTATTAATATTTGAAAATATCCAATTATGTATAAGCTTGAAGATTTGCTACTGTTTTTCATCTTCCTATAATGCTACTTCCCAAGCTTTCTCTGGGATCATTTGATATTATCAATATAGTTTAAATTAGGTATCCATTCCATGAGAGAGGCCTTTCTTTATAATTTTATTTAAAGTAGATTTCCCTAGTTATTCTTGTTATTACTTCCAGGGTTTTTTCGAAATCTGTAACTTAGCACTTATTTTTTAGCAATTACCTTCTAATTTGATTAAGCCATGAGTTATAAGACAGCAGAGACGGTACTTCCCACCTCATTGCTTAACCAGTATTTAACGTAGTATCTGGTACACAGATGGCCAACTGAATGTTATTGTACAAAAAGATGTGTCCTTATTGTTGCTACCTACATCAAAAAATTATGTAATTTAAAGATTAAAAGAGTTACATACAGAAAGCAAGAAAATAATGTGGAGTCCACCCAATGCCTCACTTTTCTAATTTTGGTGACTAAATGGAGTTTGAAAATTTGAAGGACTACAGCTGTGCTATGTAAAGCTGATTTTTTTGACATACAAAAATTATGTATTATTTTTTATTTTATAATCACACATTAAAATACCTTCATATAAACATATCTTCATCCTAGTACAACTCTACTCATTTTACTATTAACTTTGTGTTCTTCTACTAACGAATACCTGAAAGAAATCTATGTTATTAAAGTCCTAATTTAAGCACTGGAGACAGTTTAAAATGCTTGGTGTAAACTGTTTTGTATTTGGGTTTGTTAGCATTAACATATGCCTTCCTAGAGGAAATTATGTGTTTCTGACAGAAATTTTGCTTCCTCTAATTCATGAACATCTAACATATACGATGAAATCATACAACTTTTACGTGTAACAGAACAATGTGAGAGGTAAAAAAGGAGCATGGCAATTTGACAGGCACAATTAGTGGTTTCTACCCCTTATTCTCAGTTATGGCTCCTTTACATTCCTTCATTCTCGCCTCTGGACTCAGCATTGAAACTGCAGCTCTGGTGGCCCTTCTCAGCGTCTCTCCCACCTGACCTTCGTCAGGGTGGGACAGAATCCATTCTTATTAAAGCGCTTGCTTTCTTTGCACATCCTCCTATCTCAGTGTCTATACTGTCTGGGACTGCTGACTCATTGTCT